CTGAGAGAATGCACTTCAAGCGCTCTGCATCCTACTTAGCACACAGCAGACACCAAAACAAACATTATCGACTGCAAAAGTATCAGCCAAAAATTGTTTGAGAATTTCAAGCACTCTCGTAAAACAGATTTTTCAATCACATACATGCAGAATCCATTTTTTTTCCCGCCCCAGCCAGCAAACTGTCTCGAAGCCTACTTTTCAAATGAACAACTCTTTCCAGACCTAGCTTGGAAAGTTCCACCAGTTTCCTAAGTTGCTGAGCAGTCCTTCTTCAAAACCCTGGCTGCCTCTCCCCTGCCATTTTATAACCACAGGCCACAAGAGGATCTCTAAAATACTTTACAGAAGACAACCCATAATTTTAAAGTTGATGTAACTAACTATAGTACCTAACTGAAGAATACTTCAGTAGATGGAGGAGGATTCTAGAAAGCTATACAGGTAAGAGTGAGCAAAGCTGTGAAAGCAGAGGCTTGAAGTGGCCGGCCAAGGTGTATATGACAGTTTTTCTTCCTGCCCCAATCTGTGAGTGTGAAAGATGTCACCGATCCCCGCCCCGCCCCATCAAGAGGGATTTAGTTTAAGGGATTGGCTCATGCGATCATGGAGGTTTGGCATGTCCAAAAATCTACAAAGAGGCTGGCAGGCTGGAGACCCAGAGAACAGATGCAGCTCATCTGCTAGCATCATTCCCTCTTCTGGGAGGCCAGTCTTTCTTCTATTAAGGCCTTCAACTGATTGGCTGAGGCCCACCCACATTATAGAGGACAATCTGCTTTACTCCATGTTAACCTCATCTAAAAAGTACCTTCAAGGGCCGGCCGAGTGGCACGTTGGTTGGGAGCTGGCTTGGGACGCCACAGGGCCCCGGTTTGGATCCCACATGAGGGCCAGTGACACTGCCCTCTACAGCTAAGATGCTGAACAACAGGTCAACCTGGAGCTGGGCTGCCATGAGACGCCGGAGACGGCGTAGGCTGCAGCCCCTGCTGCAGTGGGTTGCCATGGGCTACCGTGAGTAGCCAGCAGCCAGCGTGAGCGGCCAGCAGCCGCAGTGAGCGGCCGTCCAGAAGCCGGCAACTGATCTGCCTCGCCCGGGAAGAGCACAATGATGGTGCCAACTTGGGCCAGTGAAGCAACGTCCTCCACAACTAGACTGAAGAACAAAACGACAGCAACTTGTCTGTTCCCCTCCCCCCAATTCCCCAGCACTGTTCCCATCCCCCAATTCCCCCAATTAAAAAAAAAATCTTTAAAAAAATAAAAAGTACCTTCAAGAAATATCTAGAATAACGTTTGACCAAATATCAGGGTCCCATAGCCCAGCCAAGTTGACACATAAAGTTAACCACCCCAGGGGTTTATATTAACCAATGCAAACAAAACCCAATCCAACAGGGGACAACTCTGTAGGTCTTTACACTTGCCCTGTGTCAGCTTCCTGTGGTCTGGCCGGCTCCTGTCTCCTCTCCCTCTCCACTGATTACTTCCTTCCCTGCCTACCTCCCCATCAGGATCAGAGCCCAGCTCCTGTCCTTGGGTCTTGCACACCAGTTTGGCTCTCCAGGGCACTTCTCAGGGCTCTATGAGTTGTCAAGTTTCCCACGTCCATCAAGCCATAAGTCCCATGGAGGTCTGTCACTTGTCTGGGGGACACAGCTGGGGAGGGGCGGAGCTGGTATTTGAACACAGGTCTTCTGATGCAGGGTCCAAGCTCTGACCCTATTCAGGTTGTTTATATCCGAATGACCAAAACGTGCTACCCCGGATCATGTTAGGTGGGCTCACGGGCAATCTTAAAAGATATTTTTAGTTACATATTTAATTTAACATAGAACAGGAAAAAAAAAAACATGAGCTAGCTCATCAAAGTAATGATTTCATGGATATAATTACACAGGATGAGGTCAAATTTTAAAAGATGAGCCAACAAAAGGAAAATACTATGAAAATAAAACTAAAGGTGGCACGGAGGCAGATACAAACCATAAAGGAGGTGTGTGAAGGACAGAAGTCTGGAGAGCACTGGCCTAGATGGAGACCTGGGTAAGGAGATGAAGCGTGAACTTGTCCTGAATCCCCCTGCTTCTCATGGGGTGATGGCCCCAAGCTAATTAGAAGACACTGACGGCTTTTGTTTTTTTTCCTAAGTCCAAAAGAGCGGAAATCCGGGACTTTACTCTTATTTCTTTGACTCAGTGAGGGAACAAAACCTATTCACAAACCTATTCACCAGTTCTAGCCGTAGGGTCAGTCAAAGGCTCTAATTCCCAAGAGAGAACTGGTTCCACCCCACAGCCTGAAACCTGACCTGTCTGTGAATGTGGCTTCCACCCAGCCTGTGACCGCTCATTCCCAGCGATGCCATGACCAACACAGAGGCTGCACTGCAGTCAGGGCCCTGGGTTGGCGGCTTGGCTCTGTCACTAACTTAGATTGTGCCCCAGCAATGACGATCACACCAGTAACAAAATCACAATGGCTAACGATTATGGACACTTACTATCTGGCAGGTAACAGGGCACATGTTTTATAACACAACACAACAACCTCCCAACACAGCATCAGAATTCACTGAACTCAGGGACGCCAACTCTACGGGGCTCCACCCTCAACAAGGGATGGAGTCGGCAACAAGGCTTGCGAAGAGATTTTTTTTATTGTACTCCGGCAGTTTACAGAAATACAAGCTGCTAATATTGGGTCATCAATAATCACACCAATCAGTGGTACTTCTGCCTCTTTATCTAAAACAAAAATATGGAATACCGAGGGCAGGCATTCTTCCTTTAATTCTACTTTTAGAGCCTCTTCTGCTCTAAATTTCAGTGGCTCTGGGGAGTGCATCTCATCTTTCCTGTCATTTCGTGGAGGTCCTGGGTGAGTCACAGTCTCTAGCTTCCCCTCCCTGGGCCTCAGTCTGCCCTGTAAAATGAAGACGATGGACTGAAACAGAGGTTTTCAATATGCAGTTTCCAAATCCAGTAGCATTAGAATCTCCTGGGAACTTGTTAACAATACCAACTCTAGGGCTCCACCCCAGACCTGCACAGTCAGGAGCTCGGAGGTGGGGCCCAGCTGCCTTGCTTTATAAGATCTGCAGGGGATTCAGATGAGAACCCTCGGCTAGAAAAGCCCTGGGGTAAAGACGCTTCTAGCAGTGAAACTTGGTTTGTGCTCTAAAGTATTATGATTTAATAGCATTCTCTTAGGACAGAGTATTTCTTACCCAAGGCAGGCAACCCTTTCAGGGTAAAAAGATAAGCTGTTTTCTTTGACCATCTAAGGCCCAGAGTTCAGGTGAGCTTTTCAAGAAAGCCTCAGGTATTTATGGCTGACTTAGGAGGGCAGAGTTTTGTTTTGTTTTTAAGTAGTAAGTCTCGAATTTGGCATGTGATGAAAGCAGTGATATCTGTAGTTGAAGAAATAAAGATGAAAGGAGAGCTGCCTTCTTTTCAGCTCCGAAACAATGACTCAGGTGTGTGTGGTGTGGGGGAGGAGGAGGAGGAGGAGGTAGGGCCCTGGTGGTCCTGAAAGGGCCGCTTCCCGTCTCCGGTCCGGAGCTTCCTGGTGATTTGGAAATCCTCTACTGCTACACCCCTCTTGGAGAGATGTGATTACAAAACCTCAAAAGAGCCACAAACAGCCACGGTGACAATTACAACACAGAACTGAGTTGACAGACTTAAGTTAGGTTTGGCTTCCAAGATATTAAGAATGGAAAGAATGTCTTGTCTAAAAGATCCAATTTTCCCAATCGGGATTTCGGGCTAAAAACCCTCAAAAAAGATGAAGAGAGAATTTCACAGTACTGCCTGCGGTTTCCTCAGAAAGAAGACCCAGCCAGACTCCCTGAAGAAGTGTCAGCTGCTTGGGCCATGGCCTGTGGGTCGTCCCAGGGTGGACGCCGGAATGAGTACCTATGAGACCAACTCCACAGCCATTTCCAGGGACTCACCAGCCTCCCTTACTGAGTGTAACTCAGTAACACTGACAATAAGTATTATCACTGTCTTTTACAGAGCACTGGCCATGTGGCAGGCACTGTTCTAAGTACTTGACATTTATTAACGAGTTTGATCTTCACAACAACCCCATGGAGGTAGGGACCTTTATTATCCGCTAATTACAGGCGAGGAAACATCGGCAGAGAGAGACAGCGTCACAGGGCTATTAAGTGTTCCGTCAACAGGGAGCAAGAGAGTCAGGAGGCCTGGGCTCTGAGGAAGCCTGTGTCTCGGGCCAGAGGCGCTGGGCTGGCCGATCTACTGAGAAATAAGGGAGGCTCAATCAGGTGGTTTCTAAGATCACTTCCAGCTAAGAGCGTCAGCAACTCTATGCGGTCGAGCTGATGCTGGTGGGTGTGGGCTGCCCAGAAAGATACGTCCTGAGATCTTGGTCTCTAAGGCTGGCCGCGTCGTCGAGCGGGTTCCCAATGTCAGGCCCGGGGGAAGCACGGCTGCTTGGCCCCCTTCCCGCAAGTCGCTGCCCAGACGCCAAGCCCTAGTCTCTGATCCTGGGAGAATTAACTTCTAGCCCTTCTCAGGTATCCGTATCCGGAGAGCCTGGCAAGCCAGGAAAGAGACTGCAAGAGCCCAGGTTGCGCGACCCGCGCTGGGGAGGCGAAGAAATAAAAAGTCGAAGGGCGCAAGGACTGTAAAAACCTGGCAGTCCCTTTAACCCTCTAAACTTTCTCCCGGGATTCGCGACCCCAGCAGCCACGCATTGGCTGAGCCGCGAGCGGACCCGCCCTCTCTCTTTATCTATTGGCTGTCGCAGGCACCCATCACAACCCGAGGCTCCCTAATGGACCAAGGCTTTTGTCAATCAAGATGGGCGGGAGAATGGGCGGGGCCAAGCCCGGGAGAGACGCGCCAGCCTCGTTCCCTTGCCCCGCTTCCTTGCGGTGTGTGACTGGGGACTTGAGTGAGCCCCGCGGGGTCCGAGGCCGGGCGCGGAGTCTTGCGGCGGGGCTGGCCGAGACTCCAGAGACTCACCGATGCGCTGTCCCACCGGAGAGCTGAATGGGTTCCCCAGGAGAAACTCCATCGTCGCGGCTGCAGCTGCCACCAACCCGTGGAATCAGCTGACAGCAACCGCCAGCGCTGCCGACCCGTCACGTGATGCGCCGGATGGTCCGCGAGGTGGCGCCGGTGGGGGCGGGGCGGAGGGAGTCTAGAGCGTGACCACAGGCCCCGCCCCAGACAAGGAGGGTCGAGTTCCCTGAGGAGGGCGGTGACCTCACGGTGTCGGAGGACGTCACGCACGATGTAGCGCGGTAGGGGACCTGGAGGGCGTGGGCCTTTGAGCCACACCTTCGGCGTTTTTTTTTTTAGGTCTAGGGTCGTGGCCTAGTGATCTCGTAACACACCGGGAAAACCGGGTTTCAGACCAGAGAAATGACTTGGGTAAGGTTGCAGAGCAAGCTTAGCTTACAGCTCTCACTTTTTTAAGTGTTTTAACTCTTGGGACTCCACCCACCGCTGGGGCTGACGCCTCTTTGGCCTGTTGCCTCCATTTTTTGATAGAACCCTTCCTATCTGAGGTCGCGGTCCAGAGATTTGAGATCCTATGATACTGAGAGACAACTCAATGAATTTCAACTTGGGACCGGCTAGAGCCCAGGGTGGTAGAAAGCACACAGATGTAGTCACGAGCGGGGTTTGGGACCCACCTCTGCCATGAATTTACTGTGTGATTCAAACAGTTTCCATTTTCTCTGGATGCTGGAATTAGATTGAGGAGTCTTCTTTTTTTTAGGTCACAGGCTCCTTTGAGAATTTGAAGCCATGAGCCTTTCTGAAGAGAAAAGGCAGACACAATTTAACTTCAGGGGTTTCTGGGGTCCCCAAAGTACAGATGTGGACCTCAAGAATTAAGACTCAGAAGGCCTTCCCCAGCTTTGTAATTCTAATATCTCCTTCAACCTTTCTGTCATGCCATGTTTCAGATGTTGCCTGCACATTAGATCTGAGCTATTGGTTGTTTTTTTCTTCTGACACACACACCAGAAGATTCAATAACTGCTTTGGTCGTTTGTGGCTTTAATTATATTTACTGATTATGATGTTTGTGATTCTTAAATTTGAAAGGCTATTAAATTGACTTTGCACAAATTTAGCATGGAAAACCTAAATTAGAACTTAATCACTTCTGTGCATTAACCTGTTTAACAGATGTCAACCTGTTTGAGGACATCTTTACTGCACAATATAAAAACTTTATGGAAGTCATGTACTCCTGTGCTTTGAAGTGTTTTAATGCACATACTTTTATTTTTTTTAAAAGGTTTTATTGGGGAATTGGGGGAGGGGAACAGACAAATTGCTGTCCTTTTGTTCTTCAGTCTAGTTGTGGAGGACGTCGCTTCACTGGTCCATGTTGGTGTTATCATTGCGCTCTTCCTGGGTGAGGCAGTCACTCGCCGGCCATTGGATGGCCACTCACGTTAGTTCACGGAAAGCTCACACCCGCTGCCGGCCAGCCCCACTGCAGCCGCACTGCAGCCCAGCTCCAGGTCAAGCTGTTGTTCCCCATCTTAGCTGTAGAGGGCACAGTGTCACTGGCCCTCATGTGGGATCTGAACCGGGGCCCTGCTGCTCAGAGCTGGTGTCCCAAGCCAACTCTTAACCAACGCACCACTTGGCCGGCCCAGTAATGCACATGGTTTTAATAAATGCCCTTCCCCCCACTAGTCCAGAAGCTCCCTAAGGGCTAGGATACTATGTCTGTTTTCCTCACCACTATTGTATTGCACAATAACAAGAAAATTCAAATCATTCTACCTTTCAATAATGGTATTTGGAGTATGGGGAGGGGGGCATGTACATTTGAGATGAACTTCATGTCAGGTACCATCCATATTTTTCTTCATTTAAGAATATTGCTTGGTTGTATGGGATATATTTAGCATGAACTTCCTTTAGATTCTTCCATTAGTTTGGGTGGTGATTTACCAGAAGTTCCTGCTTTCCTGCATTTCTCTGGTTTACAGTGATTATTGGTAAAAGATCTTGGCTTTACTGCCAAGAATAAAACAGCCATAAGTTTTATCCTTCATAGTAAAAAAAAGCAGAAATAACCCACATACCTGCCAAGCAGAGTGGAATCATATTAACACCATGCAAACAGAGTACTACATATAGCTATTCAATTAGAAATGGAAGTGTGTGAATTTTGTAAACACAATAGCTAGGAATATAAATGGCAAATATTAAATGTAGTACAAAGCTGATTAAAAGTATGTTGTAGGGCCGGCCGAGTGGCGCGTTGGTTAATAACTGGCTTGGGATGCCAGAGGGCCCCGGTTCGGATCCCACATATGAGGGCCAGTGACACTGCCCTCCACAGCTAAGATGCTGAACAACAGCTCAACCTGGAGCTGGGTTTCCGTGGGTCGCTGGTGACGGCATAGGCTGCAGTTCCCTGCTGCAGTGGGCTGCCATAAGCTACCATGTGTAGCCAGCAGCCAGCGTGAGCGGCCAGCAGCCGCAGTGAGCGGCCATCCAGAAGCCAGCGACTGATCTGCCTCACCCGGGAAGAGCGCAATGATGGTGCCAACTTGGGCCAGTGAAGCAACGTCCTCCACAACTAGACTGAAGAACAAAAGGACAGCCACTTGTCTGTTCCCCTACCCCCGATTCCCCAATAAAATCTTTAAAAAAAAAGTATGTTGTATTTTTTATTATTTTAGATTTTATTGGGGAATTGGGGGAGGGAACAGCGTTGGGGAATCAGGGAAAGGGAACAGACAAGTTCCTGTTGTTTTGTTCTTCAGTCTAATTTTGGAGGACGTCGCTTCACTGGCTATGTTGGTATTATGATCATTGTGCTCTTCCTGGGTGAGGCAGTTGGTTGCCAGCCATTGGACGGCCCTCAACGGCAGCTCTCGCAGGCTGCTGGCCACTCATACTGGCTGTTGGCCACTCACAGTAGCTCACTGCAGCCTACGCCATCGCCGGCCACTCACAGCAGCCCAGCTCCAGGTCGAGCTGTTGTTCACCATCTTAGCTGTAGAGGGCGCAGTGTCACTGGCCCTCATATGTGGGATCCGAACTGGGGCTCTGCTGCTCAGAGCTGGGGTCCCAAGCCAACTCTTAACCAACGTGCCACTCGGCCGGCCCCTCAGATAGTTTTCCTACCATCACTCAGTACTGTAGATAATGGAGGCTTCTAATGGATTACATACATGACTTAACTCTGAAAGTGGCTTTGTGTAGAAGACAGCCTAGGCTTTGGGGTCAGTTTTACCAGTGTGCTTATTCTGGCTTTACCATCTACTACTAGCTGTATAACCTTAGGGAAAATTCCTTTTCTGCATCTGTCATTTGTAAAGGGGGATAATACTCATAAGGCTTTTGGGAGGATTAAGAGGGAGAAAATATGCAAGTCATTCTCTATAACAGCATTCAGCAATATGGAGGTCTCTTTCTTGCTGCCTCTCTATAAATTAGCCTTTCAATCCTAATATTTCACTTTATGACCATTAACACCTTGTGTCTGCACTGAAATTTTTACCTTGAAAAAGGTCAAATTTCCATTATGTTAAATGTTCACAATAGTACTGAACATTCATGTCAGGCTGGCTGGCTGCTGGCTTGGAGACAAGGAAGTGACATTAACACTATTTTACAGATGTGACTTAGGACACCTATAAAGATTAAGTGACTTATCCAATATCAACAAGTCAGGACAGTGCTGCAACAGCATGAAATATATCATATTAAGCACATGATTCAGATGTGAACCTTACAGATTGATATTTTTTTGAGTTAGGCAAACGCTGTAATATACATACAATGTTATCTGCCAGTGAACAGAGCTACACTTATCAGAGTCACTGGGCTTGCAATCCGCGAAAGAGAGAACATGAGAGACTCCACAATGTCAAATAGAAACAGAGCAAGATGTATGCCAGGAAAATGGCTAATATCAGAGCTTGACCTCTATTCCAGATGGATTTTTCTTTTTAGAAACATTATGGTAGGGTATAGTGTGAGAAGCAGGCTTTGTAATTTTGGAGCAACTTCGGTTGCAGCAGGGAAAAGATAGCTGAGACTGGACTACAAATATTAAAAATGTGATTTTTAATAATATAAGTACAAAATTTTATTTCTTTATACAACTGTAATGGAATTTGGATCAAACCGCTAGAATTTATTTAAAAAACAAAATAAAACAATGATATAAAAACTGTAAGGTCTGAATCCAAAGTTTTTCCTCTAATAGTACCAAATACCACAAGATACAGATTATTATACAAATGTGTACAAATTTTAAATACAAATACAATAGGATTGGATTTTAAAGGAAAACAAAAAACAGGTCCTCATCAGGATTCCATTACTGTGTACCAATGACAATGGTAGGAATGACTTCTTTCGGTATTAACCCATGTCTCCAAGGGCCCTCCTTCATACCCTGTGTCCAACAGGAAACTTCCAGGGGTACACATGAGGTGCGGTACAAATTCTAACACGAAATCAAAACAAGATTTCTGTTCTTCTTGATTTTGGTTCCCAAACATTCTTGTCTCCCCAATTAAAACTCAAAACTGCTCTGAGCTGAGAAAGGCATTCAGCAGCAAGAGTACCCTTACAAAACAGCCCGGTAACAGTGGCGGGGAGAAGGGAAGGAATTAAATAGGATGCAGGCTGGCTGCACCATCCTTAGTGATCTGCTTGGATGCTGTGGCGCTCCATCTAGGCCTGGGGAAGAAAGCAGTTACCTCAGAGCTGGTTTTTGGCAGGGAATCTCACACCACACTTAAAAACAACCCCGAAGCGCTCAACTGTCTTTGGAACTAGGAAGCAAAAGTCTGGTTCTTTGGAAGTAAGGGCAACTGGGAACGGAAACATTCCTTTTTATTTTACTTTCTTGACATTATTGAATTATAAAGAATTAGAATCCTGACATAATGATTTCTTGTTGAGGCATGATACCTTAAAATGTAGATGGGAGTTTTCAGAGGAAGGAAGTGAGGGGAGAAATAACAGGTCTGGGTCTTCCACATGCTGTTGCTGGTGGAGGCTTTTGTTATTAAATTATATGTACAGAAATTTACAGGATAAATTAAAATCTAAGATTTTTTAAAAGAGTTAAATACACATAATTAAAACACACATTCACACACGCACATAAATAAACCCACATGAGAAGCGAGTACTTTTTTTGCAATTCACTCGTGTGTGGAATGCAGAACACGGTGTATCTGCCCACCAGGGGAGCCAATAAGATGAACCCAAAAATCCCTCCGGGCCAAGTTCATCTTCCACAACCACCAAGCAACTAGCAGCGGAACCTGTGAAGACTTGGTGGCTAAGTGCTGTCAATGGAAGATACCAGCTCTTCGTTCTGCAGACCAGAGATTCTGGGTCAGCTTACAATATACCCCGTTCAACTGGTGGCACTGACAGCTTTACCCTCTCCAAGGCGTTTTATGTTGCCAAGGCTCACAAAACTCCTTGGCCCCTCCTGAGGCTGCCAATAGTACCAATGATTACAATAATTTTTGAGACATGGACACCTGTATAGCAGGAATTGGAATGAACCCTATACTAAGTTCACCTAAGTCATAGCAATCACTTTAAGATGAGAACGGTTTTATTACCGCCCACCTGAGTCACGTGCAAGTTGAAAGGCTTTGCACTTTCAGTCAACTGGCATCTTCCCATAATCTTTCCTATTACACTTCAGACTGTAAGACAGGTAAGGCAAATGGTCAGTGATGGGTCTGGAGGTACAACTGAGTTTGGAAAAAAATCCCATTTTAGCTGTCTATAAAGAGATGCACTTGGCACCAAGTACAAGCCCCCAGCCCCCAAGTTACATTGATTTTTTAAGGCAGATTTATCCACCACAGGAGGAAAAAGAATCCCAAGCCCCTATTCCTGCCAAGGTTTCCTCTCGGCTAATCCTTTGCCATTTCATAAAATCATTAAAAGCAAAGTAGTTACAGTCCTATGTATACATTGTACATTATATATATGTGTGTGTGTATATATATATATATGTATGTATATAAAAATTTAAAACCTACACCCGGAAGCCAGTGAAGGATTCCAGAACAGTCCTATCTACATAAACCAGCAATGGGGTAAGAGAAGGTTTCTGTCCCAGGATTCTCTGCTGTCACAGTCCAGGCATGATGTAAGCAATGTTGTCTAGAGTGTTTGACTGCAAAACAAAGGGAAAAAGGTCAGTTGAAGAGTAGTATACCTTAGTTCCCTGACACACATTTCGTTGCTCAGGGGAGAGAGAGGAGAGAAAACGGGGAGAATGAAAATGACATCCTGTTGTCGGTCATGCTAGGAGCTTTTCTGCCGACTTCTTCCATTAATCCCAGTAAAAAAGAGGCAGAAGACTCCTGCACTTTCTTCGTGTGTAGAAGAGCAAACAGGAAAACACAGGAGTTGCATAACCTCAAGGGCTAGAATAGAAATGCCTCTCCCCAAAGGCCTGTTTTAGGAAATGGCACGTTTTCTAGTTTCACTAAAAGCATGGCATGCGTTCAACAACAGTGTCGCGTGCCTGGGCCGATATATGAAGGGAGTGCTATATGCCAGGAGGCCTTTGGAGCTTGTACCTGATAGAGCTCATTAAGGCAGCTCCTCTCTGGCCCCCAAGGGGTCTGGCCCCAAAAATCCAAGGAAAACTCACCAAGACCTGTTTGGGACAGCCATTCAGCTCAGGTAGTTGTGTGGTGAGACACGCCAAGGGGCCCAGCGCACAGATGATGGAGTCCAGGAGCACTGACAGGCTGCCCGACACGGCCACCATACCCTGAAAGAAAGCGCGTTAGAGGAGAGGGGGTTGTAAGGCAAACCACAGCCTCAACGCTCCCCCCATGTCGGGGCTCATTTCCTCACATGCTTCTTAAGTCTTAGGCAGTTCTATGAAACTGGCAGCAAAAATGGAAGGTATCCACTTTGATACCTTTGTAAGTTGTTTAAAAAGAAAACTTTTGAGGTGGCCGGTTAGCTCAGGTGGTTAGAGCACAGGCTGATAACACCAAGGTTGCTGGTTCGATCCCCACCCACATGGGCCAAGGAGCTGCGCCCTCCACAACTAGATTGAAACAACTGCTTGGCTTGGAGCTGATGGGTCCTGGAAAAACGCAGTCTCCCAATAAAATAAAAAAAAAAAAAAGAAAAGAAAACTTATGATGCATTCCCAGTTTTTTTTCTATATCCCTTACCCGTCTTACCTTCTATGCAACCCTGGGTTAGTCACTTATGGTTTAAAAAAAAAAAGAAAAAAAAAAGCCTATACTTAGGAATAGTAAAAAATGCCTACCTATGCTGGAGAACTGCTGGGAAGATTTGTAGAGAACATGTATGCAAAAGTACTTTTCTTATGAACGTCACAAATACAGCTCAAATGGGATAACTGAGAATTCTATAGCTACACATTAACATTTAATACAAACATGCACATACTCCATCATTGTGTGGCTTTTGATAGCTGATGATATCTTTACTGGATTGAACTGTTCACTCTCAAAAAGGAGTAAATTTGGTTCATTTCAAATTTTAACATCTTGTACAATTCATATTGTCTACCTCTCTGAGATTCAGAGAGATAAGAAATAAGACTGCTTGCTGCAAATATGGCTGCTCAGCTCTTGATAATCCGCTTCAACTAGAAGTATGGCGAGGCTGTGTCACCTAGGGAGGCCACAGGGCAGAGTCCTTCACAGACTGAGCTCTGGGTCAGGACCACCGGGGCCAGAACCTGGCTGTGCCACTCACTGTTTTTGTGCCACGCCTTACTATACTGTGCCTGTAAAACAGAGTACTAACAACATCTGTGGCATGAGGGGATAAGTGAGATAACAGATACAAAGCGGTTGGGATGGTGCCTGGTACATGGTAAATGCTCAAAAGCCTCAGCAATTAGTACTGTTATTATTACCAACATCCCCACTGCCCAAACTGCATTTCTGGCTGCCTGCTAGTTCTCAGTATGCTGTCATGCGAAATACCCTAGCCTTCCTCCTAGTGTCCCTTTAGAGATGCTGGCCTCACCACCGTTCCTACAGCTGCCCAGTCTCCAGGCCTTGCCTGACTCTTCCTTCCCCTCGTCCTCCTGTCCAGTGTAGAGCAGGAGCTCCCCTTCTAGGGGAGGCAGGACAGCAAGGGTTTAAGAGCATGAACCTCAAGCCACCAAATTCAAGCCCCTCTTTCAGCACTTCGGGCTGAACTCCAATTAGTTGCTTAACCTCTCTGTTTCTTTTGCAAAACTGGAGGAATACAAACTCTGCCTCTCAAAGGTGCCATGTGCATTAAATGAAAAAATGTATATAAAACACTCTGAACCAAAGCTGGCTGAGTAAGCATTCAATGAAAGTTAGCTATTAGTAATATTATTCCATTACTTTTACCCTATAGTTAATTATAGCTAATATTTTTTGTCTGACTTTCCTAGTGGATTATAAGCAACTTGAGGGCAGGAACAAGGTTCTATTCCTTTATAAAAAGATTTTATTGGGGAATTGGGGGAGGGGAACAGTGTTGGGGAATTGGGGAAGGGGACCAGCCAAGTTGTTGTTCTTCAATCTTCATTGTGGAAGGTGCCAGTCGCCATCTGGCTTCCCGTTGGCAGCTTGTGGCCTCTAAGCTCAAGGTGCTGTGTTCAATCTTAGTTGCGGGTGGGCTTAACCATCATCGCATGCGGGAGTCGAACCAGCAGCCTTGTTGTTAAGAGCTCACACTCTATCCACTGAGCCATCCAGGCGGCAGCTCAGCTCAAGGTGCTGAATTCAGTCTTAGTTGCGGGTGGGCGGAGCCCACCATCAAACTGGCAATCTTGTTGTTACACCAGCTGAGCCATCCTGCCACCTGCTGGCAGCTCAGCTGCAGCTCAGCTCGGGTGCAGCGTCACTGGCCCATGTGGGAATCGAACTGGCGGCCCTGTTGCTCAGAGCCCGCGCTCTTAAGCCAACTCTTAACCAATTGAGCCACTCAGCCGGCCCTCTATTCCTTTTTATAGCTTCCCAATAACTGCTGGTGTCTGCATATAGTAAGCGCTCGGTAAATATTTGTTGAATTAATTCAAATCTTTGTGATATCTAGACTAGACTATTGTTATAACTTCTCTCCAATTCTGGTCTCTTTTCACTCATAATCTCAATAGAAGATATTCTCAGAGAAAACCAAATGAGAGCTCTGATCACATTACTCCCTACTCAAAAACTCGCAGCAGTTCCCGGACAGCGAAGTGTAGACCCTTCAGAATGCCCGTGAAAACCCTCTGTAATTCAGGCTGTAGCCTTAATAGTCAGCATTCCTCCACCGTAAGCATTGGATGTTCCAGTTTTTCATCATTTTAACAGTAAAACCCTTTTTCAAATAAAACTTATGTGGAGCCCCAATATATAAAAGAGGTAAGCGATCTGGTTAAAGTGTTAGTGTGGGTCTTACGGGGCCTTCTTTCACCTGTCTCTGCAGAAGACCTCGAGGCTGAGAAAGAGATGTACAGACATGGTTTTCTTGGTTTGGAATATCTCTCTTCAACGTCTCCATGAGACAAATGCCTGCTTCTCTATCCTTTCAGGTCCAGTTGGAATACCACCGCCTGCTCAGAGAACTTCTCCCAACGCTCTCTGACTCTCTCGGCTCTCTAACATCGCTCTGACTGCCTCAGCTAGCGCATAACATCAGGATGCAGACCGAGTTAGGCGTGAGGCAAGCTGGGCTCTGTTACAAATAGTCATGTAAACTGGTAATCGTCAGTTCATTTCTTTAGGCTTCAGGTAGTCAATCTTTAAAGGAGCAAATTGTAGAAAATCAATGTTCCTTAAAGTGTAGTATGTAATTCCAGATGGCACATAGGTGAACAGTAATTATTTTGATATACATCCATTTTGATGCATATTAGAAAAATAACAGAATATCATATCCATGATATCAAGGATATCACTGTGAAAGCATGGACAGATTTATTTAAATAAAAATGTAAATAATAGCATAAGTGGTACATGAAAATTGCAAAATTGTGAGGATATATGCAAATAATTAAAGTCTGGGAAAAAGTAGAGTAGAGGGGGAATGGAAACCACTACTAATGGGCCTGGGGTTTCTTTGGGGGTAATAAAGGTGTTTTGAAACTAATAATGAGTCCACAATTCTATGAATATACTAAAACCCAATGAATTCTACATTTTGAAAAGGTGAACTTTATAGTATGTGAATTATATCTCAGTAAGACTGTTATATTAAAAAAAAGTGGACTAGAGATTCTGCAAAATTCTTTCCCCTTTCTGGCCACTATGTATATGTAACTTGTAACAACTGCTCACAGAAATTGGCTCCTTTTAATTTGCTAATTATATATCTATTCTCTCTTTCCAATTAGACTGTAAGCTTCTTGATGGTAGAAATCTATCATCATGATGATTTCTATCATCAGGAAGCTATTCAGATTTTCTATTCCCCCAAGTTTTTGGAATAATGTCTTGATACTCAACAAACATTAGCTAAACTAAGTGGAAATATGAGGAAAGATCTGGACTATGGATGGTACATAAAACAAATCATGTTTAATTTAAACTTTTTAGGAAACATAAGAATGTCTAAGTATGAAAAATAAATGAGGATTCTGGGATATTTTGTTCTGGAAATAGCTATATCCATTCAAATAGCTGTTTTGACACTTGCTAAATTTTTGAATATAGCCAAAGAGCTCAGATACAGCTTCATTGCTGTTGGCCTTTGGCATTTTATTTGTTGAATAATAATTCAACTTCCACATAGAAGCAAGTGAATAGTTTTATATTCCCACACTGATTTCTCAGCTTAGAAATGGCTTTGGTAGCTTAGACTGCTTTCTTTGCTGATGTATACTATTAGAACCCAGTGGAAAACTGAACTACTATACTACTGAGTTAGCCAAAGGGGCAATATGATTAGAAATTGAATATGGTAATAGAAATGGAACATGACAGCTGTGCAGGTTAAGTGATTTTGAAATTGAAGCTTAAAAGATCTCCCTGGGGCACAATGCACTATATAATTCACGTACAGTACAGAGTAATGAAGAGCTTGAGAATCTCAATTTCCCTATTTGCCACCTATTTTCAAAAAAGTAGAGGAATTCTCAATTCTCTATACAATCTGTCTATTAAAACCTTGCTGGAAATGTACAGAAAAATTCAAACTGTCTTAGGAGTACAAGTGATCAAAACTTGCATGGGATTTGTACTTGGTTTTCCCATTGCATTTTTTTTTTCCCCATTGCATTGTTAAAAAATGAAAAATAAGTTACAGGGTTATATATCAAGTATATCTCCATAAAACTGGAAACAAAGTTTTAGGGTATTCTGACTTCTTTTGTGCTATTGTTTCAATAGTATGGGATTAGTGTCAACTTTGACTCCAAATCTCTAGGTGTTTCTATTACCAGATGTCTTCTCTATCACTGTCTCCTGAATACCTGCCATAATCTAGCATAAAGCAGTTGCTCAATGAATATATATGGAATGCATGAATGGATTCAGATGATAGCAGAACTGGAGTCATGCTGCTGACAGCTGTGCTCACCTCAGTTTCCTGCAGGCGGTGTCCGATGAGGCTGAGGGACTCTCCCAACAGCTGCAGATGAGCAGCAACATCGATGGGCTCTGTCTCAGGGGCTTTGGCCGGTGAGGCAGGTAACAGCATGGTGGTGGGCGGGGATTTCTTTTGGGGTGACAATACTGCAGAAGAAGCTGAGAACAGAGATGAAATAGAGAGATCAAGCTTGTTATGGCCTTGAACACCACAAAAATGTCCCTCCAGATCTTCCTTTTTCATGAGCTCCACCAGGCATTAGCAAAACTATGGACTGTGGGCCAAGTCTGGCCCATGACCTATTTTTGTATGGCCTGTGAGGTAAGAATAATTTTAGATTTTTAAATGGTTATAGAAAAAACAAAGAATATGTGACAGAAAATGTACATGGCCTGCAAGACCTAAAATATTTACTCTCTGGCCCTTTACAGAAAATGTTTGCTGACTGATTTACATTTCCTAAGTTATTTTTGCAACCTCTAAAATTCAGTAATGAAGCAGGGCCTGGTTGGAACCCCTGTAATAGCGGCCTTGCAACGTCCCTGGCTTCATCTTTTCTTGACCTAGAACTTAAGGATAAATCAACCCCCTGTGGCTTGAGCTTGGACTGTCCCCTGTCCCACCTAATTCCCTGGCTTAGAAAATTACTCTGAAACTTATGATTAATACCCTTAAGCTTATTAATCACAATCTCCATGGTCTACCAGGCTACTCCCATCATTGTTGCTGGGTTGCTGACTCCACCAGAGAGCCACGTTGCCAGAGGGAAGGCTCCACACAGACCCCCGGAACCATCACGTAGCCTCTGGGGGAATGCCCAGATTTTCCCTTAGAAACCCCAACCCGGTCTGAGAATGTTAAGGCAGTTTTTGGAGGTGTTAACCCGCTGCCTTCTCAGATCACCGGTGCTCTGATAATAAATGCTGATTCCATAGCCCAACTCCTGTTGGTCTATTGGCTGAGCGGTGCAGGCAGCACGAGCCCTGGACTCGGCTGGCCTCCGGTTTCAGTAATACCTGGGTATCAACATCGGCTTCTAACATAGGCTGCTCTCCCAATTTCTCAGAAAGGAAGGAAAACTGACAGTGCTCTACAGAAAAGAATTCAAAGCAGGAGAGGGATGTGGTAACTACCTTTTACTTTCATGGAACCTTCTGAGCTGGACGTTTTTCTTTTCACAGTTGTAGCTTCTGCTTTGTTCTGTTTGTGTTGCAGATACTGAGCTTTTTGCTTCCAAATCTGCAGTCAGATCAGGGCACAATAAAATAAATTGAAAAGGACAAAAAAGTAAAAGAGAAAGCAGTCATGGAATGAAGACAAGAAAGGGAAGAGGGCGGGGCAGACACTGTTAAGCTGAGGGCCACAGAACAAGCTTCATTACAGCGATTACAGTCATGGCTGAGAAGGGGACTACAGACATCCCTCAGTGCTAATGGTCAGGTCTCAGCACTGCTTTTTCAATCACTCTAAGGTCCAAATGTAAAGTCATAGAGTAAACATTTGGCTCAGAATAATGTCCATGCGGTTTAAATGTTTCTTCTAACCTGCTGGTTGGCAACAGCAGGATAACACTGACACAAAAACAGAAACTAAAGATAAGCTACCTGGGTGAGAAATATTTCAGTTGTTTCACCTTAGATGAACTGTACCTTAAAGCAAGATGGTAATTCTAATTCGGAGACCACCTTCCTGTCATCCTGCTGGAAAGTGACCATGAATGGTTCAGATGTAACCATTTATCAGTGTCGTACTAGCTTCTTGATAAAAGGGGACACTATTTGGCAGTGGCTGCTGAGGAGGGTGACCTGGCCTGGAACCTGGTTACCTAGTAAACAGAGTCCCATGTTTTTATTATTTGCGGTGACTATTAAGTGGATGACTTTCCTCAGTTCTCAGACCATGGCTGAGTAGTAGGTGTTTGTATAATGGAACTTTAGAGATTGTCTTTTGACATTTTAATCACTGCCCAAGTTAGGTCATCTTTTGGCTCAAATGTAAGGTTGTTGCAAAAAATTAGAAGAGGTTAGAAAAGACAGCGTCCCTGCAGCTAAATCCTCATCTAGAATAAACTTGTACCAACCAGTGTTAATGTCCCCTTCTACTAAACTACTTTCCATTGTTTTGTCACATGCTTCACCGTTTTCAGCGTTGTTTGGCTGGGTGTCTATAGGAGAATCGCACATTTTGGTATGTGCATAAAGCAATTCAAAGACGTGCTCGTAAGAAAGTGTACTTACCAGTTTGTCCTTTTCTGGCAACTGCTTCCACACCTCTGCCAGTTTTTTACTAAGTTCCCCAAAATCTGGCAAAAAGAGTAAAAAACCTAATAAAGTAAAAGTTTATGAACAAAACAGAAGATTGATGAGAGCAAAAATTGGAAAAGGTTTTGAAAATGAGATTTAAATAGCACAAGATTCTTTCAGAAAACCAAACCAAACCCCCTCAGTTTTCCCGATTCTTTTCTATAGGAAAGGGGCTGTTTTGGTGGTCATGAGGTAGGCTTGAATCCTCACACATCGGCTATCTAGGGATTTATTCCGTAAGCATCTTTCTAGTGTTTTTTAATTTGATTGCATGATACAGGGCTTATCATTTTAGGTTAAAGAAAATATGTAGAATTTGATAAAAGATGTTAGAATTTTACTGAATTGCTGAGAGCTCAGAACCCAAGAAGGATTTCCCCAGAGCAGCTCAGGAGCCATCCTCCGGATATACATGCTGCTCTTCCATTTGTAGAAGTTCGGGAGGCTATTTTACACCTTAGGCAAATGAGAGTTACAGAGGTTAAGTACCCTGTCCAAGGCCTGCAGTGTAGTATTTTTCTCACCTCACTAACTTCTAACATAGAGATACGTATTAACAATGTAAGTCATCTCGCTATGACTCCACATCCAAGGGCAGTTTTAGGAAAAGGGCAACTGTGGAATCTTGGAAATCAATGACTGCATACTTATGTACTGGGCTTCATAACATTTAATTTTACGGTTTCCTGTTTTATCAATTTAAGAGATCTAAATAAAAAGCTTATCTCTTTTATGGTTGCAGTGAACCCAGATAAAATCTAAAGTACAGAACTGAGGGAAAAAAATGAGATTTGTGTTCTTTTAATATGATGGGAAGAGGCTGTGTGCTAACTGGCTGAATTGATTGCACTGCTTCAAAGATACAAATGGAAAGTAAAAAAACAAAAGCTCAGAAATGTTCTTACCTATACCTGGATGGTCAGCCACAATGGTGACACGATACTCTTTACAGAACACCTGGTAGGCCGACATATTCTTCTTTTTTGGCTAGTGCCACATAAAAATAGAACAGAGTAAGACTTAATTAGAACACACTTTGAGTAACACAAAGTGGGAAAGATACTTTTTCATCAAGGAAAGAGTTCTAAACTACTGACCAGCTTTCCTAAACATGAAAATTAATTTTTAATCCATGTTACTTATCACTCAGAGATGACTATCAGTTTTACTCTTTGAAGGTAAAAAACCCCCAAAAAACACATGCTAATTTTTAGATCCTTCAGATTGTTGCAGCTATGTAATAATTATTTGTAAAGCCCTTCATTCTTCCTATATGTAATCCCATGTCACATATTCTTTCAGGAGTAAATGCTAAGAAAATTTCTTTACCTCTCCTGGGAGTTTCTCAAATTTTGAAATAATAATCACATAATTTCTCTTTAAACTTTGAAAGCCAAGAGCCAAATCTATGTTCTTTTTGTTCTGGTTTTAATTTCTCATCTTATAATTTCCCTGGTCCTGCTTTACTGTCACTGGTAGTTTATCGTTATGTTATTGGATCACATTCTTGTGGTCCAAGGTGAGAGGCAAATAAATAACACAGACAATTCTTTGGTAGTCAGTGTAAGATGAACCTCTTTTACTTCAACAAACTGCTGTGTGCTACCTGAAGCATGTTTATTCTTCACTGTATTATGACAACTCCAAGCGCAAAGCATGATTTTTGAGAAATAACCAGTTCAGTGAGAGAGATTAAAACAAAAGATACTATCTATTATCCATTTTACAACTATCCAGTGACTGAGGGAAAAAGTTTTCCTACCTGAAAAGACACAGTAGATAGCATCTGTCCATACCTCTCCTTTCGAGGATGAGAAAAAGGAAACTCAGAATAGAGACTTGCCCGGGTCCCACAGCTAAGCTAGTGATGACTACCATGTAGGTAGCCTGACTTCCAAGGCTATGGGATTATGGGCCAAAGAAAGAAAACATGTTGCTTCTTTACAAAAAAAGTTACTATTTAAAAAGAAAAGATTATCCCTTTATATTCTTTATCTAATAAACTGAGATGTTTTCAGTATGGCTTTCCTTTAAAACTTCATCTGTAAGTATCAAAATATGATGAGCCTCCTCCATCTCCTCCCAAGATAGTCCTTTCTGGGCTTGCAGTTATTAAAATGACATGAAGGTTCGGTGCTTTAAAAATTACTGGGAACTTCTGTTTGCCTCAAGAGTCAGATTTTTATGACCGAAAACAAACCAACAGACAACACAGTCCTGTCTCATGACTTGAGAGTTGCATCTCGTTTTAAACCTGGCCACACGCTTTGTTACCTGACTTAGTACTTAACGCTGTTGAAATAACTAATAACTACCCTCAAAAGCCAAAGACTGGCCGGGACGGATGACAAAAAACCTGTGTGATGGCTCTGACTTTAATTCTATAAGGAATTCTGAAACCATTTAGAGGAATGGAAACATTCCTGTAATACCGTCTACAGTAAATGCTTGGAATGAGAGGGCACTGCTTTGGATATAAAAATTGTGGCATGTTTGTTACAAATTTAGCTTCAACAATTTTCAACTAATCTTTTTAAACAGCTTATCCATAGGTCTGACATTTACAAGAGTACACAACGAAAGAATAATTTGTGGAAGTCTATACAAAACCAAATCTTTCTGAGCTGCAGAACCAATCTCACCACTAAATACTGACAACATTAGAAAGAAAAGGTGCTTGAGAGAGTTCACAGCTCATCTGGTTGTACTATAAAACTCGCAAGGAGTTTTAATAATGTTTCTCAAACATGATGTAATACTGCAAAAGGTTACTGGCTCCCTACTCTGCAAGGCTATCTACAGTTGTAACATAAAATTAAAACTAACTTTACAAAATTAACCACAACTCTTGGCCAATATATATGGTTCCAATACACATACTGAAGAAAGGGTTCCTCTTATAAAGGACATTATTCAATTATGTAGAAAATAAACTATTATTTGTCGAGTACCTGTACTGGGCATAGTGAATAGTTAGGTGGGTGAGCTCAAAGCCCAGATCTTATACTAAGGTCATTAAGCAGCACAAAATAGTGACAAACACATGAAATTTAAAGTTTAAAGGCCCATCATGTTTTCCCAGCTTCACTGTATACTATTTGATCCTGAGTAAAACACGAGAAGTGGATGGCTCTTCTGATACGTGGTGTTAAAAGGATTTCAATGGCAAAAAAGGAAAAGCAGAGTAAAAAGGCAACACAAGAAAGAAACCTATCAAATTACTCTGTCATTCATTTATTAATAAATATTTATTACAGTATCCACTATGTGCCAGACATTGGGAATATAGCCAGGAATCAGAGCCATAATCTAACAGATAAGACACATAAACATGTTATTACATCAAAATGCAATGATATAGGGAAAGCAGTGGATGCTACAGGAACATGCAATAGGAGCACCTCACCTAATGAGGGAGTCAAACAAAGCCTGTGGAGGAAGCGCCATTTAATCCAGACCTAAAAACTGGTACAATTATCCCGATGAAAAGCAGTTAAGAGTGTTCCAGGCAGAGGAAACATATGGTAGCGTTCATTACACAGAGGTGAGAAGCAGGCAGAGCCCACAGATCAACACTGTGTCACCTGTGTAAGAGTACGGACTCTACCGGGAAGAAGCGATTCAGGTATTTTAAGCAGGAAGTTGCATGGTTGGGTTGCACTTTGGGACCATGGTGAACAGACTGGAGAAGTGCCAACGCAATGGTAGGAGGACCCCTCAGTGGGCCGCTGCAGCAGTGCCTGGGACGGATAACGATGGCCTACAGCCAAGCAGTGGGGCTGAAGAGAAGGAAATAAATCGGAGAGGGGGGAAGGGACAGGATTTGTCAGAGGTGGTGTGGCAGAATGGAGAGCCTGGGCTTTGGAGGCCGGCCGATCTAGGGCAGCATCCCGACCACACGCTTTGCTAGTTACACAAATTACTTCATTCCCCTGAGCTTTAGTGTTCCTGTGAGTAAAACTTGGAAATATCATTTTATTCAAAGGCAGGAATTAATCAAACAGTATTGAGCACTTCAGTAGGTACTCAATAATATTATTTCTGTGGCAAGCCGACTTCCAAGACGGCTCCCAAGATTTCTGCACCCTGGTTTACACACCCTAATGTCTTCCCCTTGAGTGTGGGCAGGACGGATGAATATGATGGGATACCGACTCTCATGATTATTTTAGTTAAATGGCAAAAGGGATTTTGCAGATGGAATTAAGGTCCTCAGTGAGTTGACCCAGTTAATATAAAGGAGATTATCTCGAGTGGGCCTGACCTTATTAGTGAGTCCTTAAAAGAGACAAGATGCAACAGCAGGCACTCGCCTGCTGGCCTTGAACTTGGAGAAAACAAGTTGCCATGAGTTCTACATCTGCAAGAAGCTGCACGCTGCCACCAACCTGAATGAGCTGCCACCACCTGGACAGAGGACCTGTAGGCTCAGATGAGAACCTGGAAGAGGTGGCCCACACCTGGATCGGTTTTGTGAGAGCCTGAGCACGGAGCCCAGCTGAGCCCTAGCTGGACTTCTGATGTACAGAATTGTGAGATAACAAATAAATGTTGTTTTAAACTGAATTTGTGATAATTTGTTACGTCACAAGAGAAAACAACTACAAGTTCTTTTCTATTCCCTCCGTATTTTTCAAAATAGAAGTTGTGGCATCCAAAAAGCCAATATAAGTTTTTCTAAACAGAAAATTTTGGTGAAGGAGCATTGAGTGAAATCATTTGACCTAAATGAGACAAACGGCTTTTACTTTAAACATTTCATTTAAATAGTAAAGATCCCATTTGTACTCTTTGTTGGGTGAAGCCAGTCCTGTTTAGAGATGTTATAGAGTTATGGGTGCTGTATCTCCTGTGCTGATTTAGTAACAGCTCATACCCCAAAATGCTTTAAGTATTCTAACTAAGGCTCCGTCTAACTAAGGGGGATTTGAAATCCTCCTTTATTGGGCCCAATATACAGTGGAGGGGTACTACAAACATACACACACACACACACACACACACACACGTTTACCTAAGTTCTATATTTGGTCATTGGGAGTGGGGTGGGAGAATGGGTGTACACGTGTTCTGGATCAATTATTCTGGGAGATTCCACAAGGATCTATTCCACGGAGTATGACAAGAACATAGATCTGCTTTCCCCAGGTAGTTCCTGTATGTCTCTTTCAGTGTGTGTAACTAACTTACTACTGATCAAGCCTGATTCTGTTTGTAGCTACATTAAAAAATTATACAATTATTGCTCCTGAGCATATGCCAATGACTTCATCTGGTGCCGAAGAGAGAAAAATCTAGCTGCTTTGGGCTGATGACATTCTGTTGGACTCAGAATCTGCTGGCCTTCATTGTGAAGCCTTCCTAAGGGATTTTCAAGGGAAACTGACAGTTTTCACCTTATGTGCTGACCTTTGAATCTAACCAGTGTGTAAGATACAACTGTAGTCTGTGGACCTAAAAGCTTGGAATTCAAACTTAAGGGTTAAAATTTTTCCAGGGCTCAGACATTTTTTCTGAATTAGTAGTTGAAATGCACAAATAATGGATGATCTCCATACATACAAAAGATTTCCACGTGATTCTAACTGCAAGGCCAGTATTTCCACTCTAGACTCTCTCATGCAAGAAAACATATAGTGTTGCAAGTGCATCACAGTGGCTGCATCCGGAATAACATGAACTCCCCTTTAATACAATGTTAATATTTTGAAAACTTGGATACTTATTAGTAGCAAATGACTTGCAACAAGTCCATTTACTAAGTGTGACTCACAATGTAGTGCTATTAGAGTCAGAACACCGTTTTAAATGTTTCATGACATTTGTCAAAATACCAAGACCTTTCCAAGAGCAACTTCTTACTACTCTTTATAAAGCAGTCCTGCTTAACTCTTCTGGGTCACAGAACTCTTTGAGAATCTGATGAAAAGCCCTCTTCAAGCCCATCCATGACTCTAGTTTAAGCACCTGTTTTAAAGGATAAAACG